ATTTGCAGTGAGTCATGGCTACGTGTATCTCGTTGATGAATGTCAGAACGTTTTGTGAATAAATCGCTCAAATAATGTGGAGCAAGTTCATTGACACATTTGTACATCATAATAGCCTCTCTTAGTAGTAATTGTTCCTTTACTGGGAGCCAGTTAAGTTCACGTAAGCCCGGCGAAATATGGTCGAACTTTCCAATATTTGTTATTATCCTGCATGCAAAATTTTGTACCAACTGTAGTTTCTTAATGTTGGTAGACGAAGTGTTTGACCAAACCGTTGAACAATAGAACATTTTGTTCATTACAAGTGCCGAGACGATGAGAGTTAAAGCTTCTTTATCGAAACATTTTTTGACTCGGTTTATTTGGCACAGGAAATTCATACATGAGGAAACCAGGTTGGTGATATGCTGGTCATATGTCAAATAAGAGTCGATTGTCATTCCTAGATCTTTGGCAAAGGAGACGGGGGTAATAGTCTCGTTGAGGAAGTTTATGGTCATATCTACGGGAAGTTGTTGTAGGTTTTGCCGTGTGCCAATCAGCATGTATTTGGTCTTTCCCGCAATGTTGCAATCACCAGTCACGGAAACTCAGAGTCACTGCTTGTCATTCCGCCCAGGAGAGGGTCTTGACGACCACTGTCTTCGGAGCTGTCCGACAACTCCCACTGAGCAGACGTAACTCGTGGGATTTCTTGACCGGTTCTTTGGCAACTTCCTCGATAAATCAGCTTCCATATCCTCTTCATTTTCCTCACTCTCCAATTCCTGTTCGCCCACACCTCAAACGTCTTTCAACCAATCTCTAAGGAATTCTTCCCTCTTGTCCTATTTTATGCGTTCCTCTTGCAGCATATTGCTTTCGGTTCCCTTGGGTCTTCCTCCGTGATTTGTCACTATTCCAGACGTCCACAGCAAGCTCACAAAAGCGCTCACGGAAAACGTGCAGGGTTGGACCTGTCACTTTATTGCGCATTAAATCAGTCAAGTTGCGTTCGTTCAACCTGATGCGCCAGCCAGATTTGACTACACGCAAGTACGAGATGAACGACTCGCAGACTGCATGCATTGCCGTATGGGCAGCAGAGACACAGTTCGACCAGTGCTCACAGTTCCCGTGCTTCCCAAAGCTTTATCTTCCAGAGCATTGGCCACAGATCCATGGAGTCGATAACAGCTTCGTTACAGTATGCGGTTGCCGATCCCTATGCTCTGAAATTAAAAATCGCCGGCAAGGTCCTAAAACTGCCGGCGATAGCCGGCTGCCGGCGGCTATTTTAAACCCTGCTGAAGGTGCAAAATAAAATCAGTAAACGGACGTATCTTACTTGATTTGGCATTAATTTTACTGCAACCGGTTAAAAATTAAGTAAAGATTGCTTAAACATTGCTTAAACGTTGCTTAAATATAGTTATAACTTCCAATTCCTGTGAATAACGCACGAATTTTGAAGTGTAGTTCCGGTAAAAAGGGCAACCTGTTGCCCCCGTGCTGCCCCCGCACTGTTCGGGCAATAGAGAGGTTAAGATACCCCGGTTCCGGTTTACGGGTACGGGTAATATACCCGTACCTGTAAATCGGGGAGTAACGTGTAACTTAAGAAATGCAAGATACTCTTGCGTAACAAACCCGATCAGAAAATAGTAACTTTCGCTGTTGAGGTTCGCCATAAATTGTTCAAAACGTTGATGAACATATGTGCATTATTTATTTGGGTAAGACTGTTGAAAATTTGTACTATTTAAACGGCCCACAAATAGTAAACAGAAAACACCCGTACCCGTTTGTCTTTTATGTGTAGACCATGGTTTACCGCGGGAAAACGGGTAGAATTACGGGTAAAAATGCTGACATCAGCAAAAGTTGGTAAACAAAATGGCGATACTCGTACCCGTAAACCGGAACCGGGGTATCTTAACGTCTCTAATGGGGGCAGTTGCCCCCGCTGCCCCCGTGGCTCCGGCGCCCCTGATTATCGAGTTTGCTATGCCACTGACCTTCGCCTTGTGCATATACAGTATACAGCTGATTCAATTAAGGTTGTCCTTCCAAAAGCTAAACTTGCTCCAAGTCTCTCTTTCATTGTCATATCGATCCACTATAGTGTACATTACATGACGTAGCACGGAGAGGCGGAGCGAGAAAGAGAGACTTGTCAACTTCGGAAAATCTCGGTTCAAAACTGAACCGAAAATGCAAGACTTGCTTCAATTGTTTTCTGTCAGTGTTTATATGTATTGATCAAGCACAGTGTAAATAACATGACTTCCATAAAAGTAAATAATACAGAAAGAAATTGAAGGAAAACAATTAAAGCAAGTCTTGCATTTTCTGTTCAGTTTTGAACCGTGATTTTCCGAAGTTGACAAGTCTCTCTTTCTCGCTCCGCCTCTCCGTGCTACGTTATGTAATGTACACTATAGTGGATCGATACTATATGACAATGAAAGAGAGACTTGGAGCAAGTCTATCCAAAACCTTAAACCTTAAACTTTGGGCGCGCAAGGGATGATGGGTTTTCAACTAATAGAACCTTAAACTCAGAAAATCGCCTTTGCATGTCTTAGGTATTCTTGCATCAAAGCGAAATTTCAAAGTCTATGAGTCAAAATAAGCAATAACCCATCATCCCTTGCGTGCTCAGAGTTTAAGGTTTAAGCTTTTGGAAGGACAACCTTAATTGAATTAGCTGTATAGCCGGTAAATCTGAGGCGCCAACAATTTTTCACTTGTAATTGTTTTTCATCGCAAGCGAGCAACCAAAACAAAAGAGGATAAAATGGAATATAATAATTTAGTATAAATTTTTTAACGTATGAAACAAAATATACAAATATTAAAATTCAGAAACAAAACTGTTTTCAGTCGGTTCACGGTTACTGTTTTAGTGTTGCAGACTCTCTCCTCCGCAGAGCCTCCTTAAGTATTTACAAATAACTTACATGAAGTTTTCTGAATAGAAGTGAGCGCACGCGGCGTGATGGGAAGATTGAAATGAAGCCGGGAAGGCTCTGCCACATAATGCAACGAATTATGGTTTTTGAACCAAACCAGTTGTTTGACCTAGTTAACTTGAAATCGACGGAAATGTGGAAGAATTGAAATAAATCTTCATCGAAGTTCAGTACAGTCATTTTTATAAAGAATTGTTGCAATTTAGAGGATATTTATACAGACCTGCCGACCTGAGCAACTGATATATAGAGATAATTCTTATTTAAACACTTAATATAATTGTGGATTTAGCTTGCAATTTAGTTCGGATCCCGGATTGTGACTTCATAGTAGAGCTTTTAGCGGATTCAAATTTAGACAAGACCATTGTCGGATCGCGGATTTTGCTTCAAATTTGGGCGGATCGGCCGATTTGTATACCCCTATTCACACCCCCATACCGGGAGACTCCCGGCTATGTCGGGAGAGTTGGCAGGTCTGTTTATAATTAGATAGCCCGTATCCATTTATATTCATGCATTTGCAATTTCTCAATATTTTTCGGTGCAAATGGACGGACGAAGATAGTGATATTGGATTCACTCCAGGAGACTCAAGTACGCCTACAAAGGAAAGTGGAAAACATGTTTTAACACCCTCGAAGGTTGATATCAAGCCGAACTCCAAACGGTTATATACGACGTCATATTGATTGCATTAACAAGCAGAGACTTCATTTATTTTGCTCTTCCCATCACTCCTTGCGCGCTCACTTTTCCCTCACTAAGAACTTCATGTAAGCCTCTGTGGAGGAGAGAGTGTTGCAGTGTTTCTTGTATACGCACACGTACGCTTTCAAAATGGCTTCCTGTGTGACTTTTGTAGTGTCTGTGAGTCACAGTCACGTGAGGAACACGAGGAAAGACAGAGTAGTGTTTAGAGAGAGAGTATTGTAGTAAATGAGCGAGAGAATAAATCCTTAAAGTTTGATAATATAAACACTATAATTGGCGACGAGGTAAAGTAAAAGTATCGACGTTGGTTGATTTTCATACGAAATGGCTAATGTCCTTGATTTACCGGCTATTCCACCCTTTTCTGTGTCTGAAACGAATTCGTTGGCACAACGTTGGGAGAAATGGACGAACTCGCTCGATTACTACATTCGTGCTTCGGGCATCTCCGATCAAAAGCAAAAGCGGGCCATTCTACTTCATTTAGTGGGTTCAGAAGTACAAGAAATCTTCGAGACGTTGCCTGATACTGGCGAGGATTACAAAACAGCGCTCGAGAAATTGAATGCACATTTCAACCCGTGTAAAAACATAGCTTTCGAACGTCATGTTTTCAGACAAGCAACCCAACGTGCCGACGAGTCCATGGATGCTTTTGTAACTCGCTTGAGAACTCTTGCAAAAACGTGCCAGTTCGATAAAGTTTAGATGAAATGATCCGTGACCAAGTCATTGAAAAGTGTGCTTCGAACGCTCTTCGGCGTCGCCTACTACGAGAACAAGAACTAACATTGAACAATTTATTATCGATTGCTCGTTCATTCGAACTGGCCGATCGCCAGGCCTTAGAAATCGAACAAAAGTTTGAATCATCCACTCACCTCAATTCCATCGAACGAAATAGAGATTTTCAACAACCACGGCGTAATTCTGCGAAGCGTGAAGACAATAATAGGCAAAAATGTGTTTGTTATTGTTGTGGAAACGAAGGGCACCGTGCGAAGGATGTCCAATGTCCTGCCCTTGACAAAATCTGCCGACGTTGTAGCAAGTCCGGTCATTTCGCTAGGGTCTGTCGCCAAAAGACCAACAAACCGAAAGGGAGAATGCTCGACAGCTTGAACAGTCTGACGATGACTCTTCTGAGAACGAATGTTTATTTACTCTCACGGCTCATAATGTGCATCATCGCTCGGACAGCCTTCATATGTTGGAAATTGAACACATTCCAGTGCAAATGCTTATTGACTCGGGGGCTAGTGTTAACGTCCTTGATCTCGAGACATATCATCGTCTAAAAGCGCGAAAAGGAGTCCAGTTAATGCCTTCTACCCTTCGTGTTTACGCATACGGTTCTACGACCCCACTTAATATCCTGGGAACAGTCTCCGGTCGGGTAAAATGCAACTCTGCAGAAATCGTGGCCAAGTTCGTAGTGGTACACGACCAACACGCTGGTTGTCTTCTCGGGCGACAAACTGCCACTCAACTGGGACTTTTGCGGGTTGGACCTCAAGTTTCGTCCATCAATTGTACAGTATCTCCCCATTCCCTTCGCCAACGGTATCCCAGTGTCTTTGACGGAGTAGAAAAACTCACCAATTACCAGCAGAAAATTTCCATCAACACCAACATCAAACCTGTTGCTCAGCCCCCACGTCGAATTCCCTTCCACGTTCGCAAGCAAGTTTCCGCCAAACTTGAAGAACTCGAAAGGCTGGATATAATCGAGGAGGTCCGTGGCCCAACACCCTGGGTCTCGCCCTTGGTGGTCGTACCAAAATCTAGTGGTGAAATCCGTGTCTGCGTAGACATGCGCCAGGTAAATACGGCTGTAATACGAGAGCGGTATCCCATTCCCACAGTCGAAGAAAGCCTTCAGGATCTCAATGGAGCAGCTGTTTTTTCGAAATTAGACCTGAAGTGGGGCTACCATCAAATTGAACTGGACGAGCAATCCAGAGAATTGGCCACCTTTACTACTCATGATGGCTTGTACCGGTATAAGCGTCTTATGTTCGGGATATCCGCTGCTCCTGAGATTTATCAACATATATGCTATCCAACAAGTTCTACACGGTCTACAGGGGGTCATGAACATCTCGGATGATATAATTGTTTTCGGCAAGGACAAGTCAGAACGTGACAGAAATCTGCATGGAGTACTTGCTTGACTTCAAGAACGGGGACTTACGTTAAACAGTGCGAAATGCATGTTCAGTGTTTCTGAAATAACTTTTTTTGGCTTTGATATTTCTGCCCGTGGGATTCGCTCGAACGCCCAGTCAGTCGAGGCTATTCGTAATGCCCCAACACCCACGAATGCTTCAGAGGTTCGCAGTTTTCTGGGCCTAGCCAGTTTCTGTTGGCGATTTATCCCAGCTTTTTCCACCATTGCTTACCCCCTTTCCGAGCTAACCCGTAAAGCTGTGCCATGGCAATGGACCAACACCCATCAATCCTCGTTTGACAAACTTAGGAAAATGCTAACTAGTGACTGTGTCATGGCCCACTATGACCCTGCAGCTCCCACCCAGTTACGTGTCGATGCTAGCCCTGTTGGTCTGGGGGCTATTTTGACTCAAACCCAGCAGGGTGTGGTGAGACCAGTCGCATATGCCAGTCGAACGCTTACCCCAGTGGAACGCCGCTACTCCCAAACAGAGCGTGAGGCCCCAGCAGTTGTTTGGGGCTGCGAAAAGTTTCACCTTTACTTATATGGCACCACCTTTGACTTGCTTACCGATCACACACCGTCGAGTAACACCTTATTGGCCACAAGCCAATTCCGAAGTCGAACGGTTTAACCGCACACTCGAGAAGGCCATTCGCGCTGCAAATACCAAAGGAAAAGATTGGAAAAGCGAGCTCAACACCTTCCTACTCAATTACCGAGCAACAGCTCATTGCACTACTGGCAAATCACCTGCTGTTCTCTTGTTTGGTCGAGAGATACGCACCAAGCTCCCGTCGTTGAACACTAGCCGTTCGCCAGCTCCAACGTCACCTGTTGTCGACCCCGCCATTCTAGAGCGTGATCGTTGTCAGAAAGCAAAGATGAAGAAGTATGCGGATGAGAAAAGACGTGCAGCACCTTCCAACATAAAGAGGGGCCGGGTGACAAAGTTCTTCTGAAGCAAGAACGAAAGAATAAATTATCCACAAAATATGACCCAGACCCATATATAGTGGTAGGAACGAAAGGCACAAGTTTACTTCTAAAGAGACGAGCCGAGCCCGAGATAATGAGGAATTCGTCAGCAGTTCGCAAATTTTCGCCGGAGGGAACAGATAATCATCCACACGAAGCCAAACGGAAACCAGACCAAGTGGTTGATACAACAACAAAGCCTAGACCCCAGCGACAGCGAAAACCTCCTGAATATCTTGGACATGAAAAGTGACATTCACGCAGTCCGGAAGATCGAGTAAGACAGTATACGAATTGATAGTTACAAACTCTGACAATTGATATTTAGTTTTGCATGTTTATTGACGTTTGGTTAAGCATTTTCACGTAAAAGAGGGATGTAGTGTCTGTGACGTCACAGTCACGTGAGGAACACGAGGAGAGACAGAGTAGTGTTTAGAGAGAGAGTATTGTAGTAAATGAGCGAGAGAATAAATCCTTAAAGTTTGATAATATAAACACTATAACTTTATTCTTAATTTGCTTTATTATAAAGTTGTTTTTTTCGATGAATCTCTGCTTAGAATATAAAACACAATGATACGATGGAATAACTTTTTCCAGGAAATGGCTGAAAAAATTGGTGAAATAGAACAATTGGAGTATAACTCAAAATAAAATTTTAATACATTTGTCACTTTCAAAACACAATACAGCGTCAGGACACCATACAGCACAATATAAACATGACATATCAAAAGAAAAACCACTGTACAAATTGAGATATTTATATAGGATAGAAAACAAAATGGTTTTAACAAAAGAATACCCCGGCAAGGTTTTTCCCAACAGTCCATAGGTCTCCCGAAAAGGTTTTTTATTTTAAAAAAGTCCATACAATTTGCTTTAAAATACAATGCTTTGACATGCAATGCTTCAATGTACAGTAAAACCTCTATATTTTGTATTACATGAAGTAGGAGTAACATCACAATAGCGTTGTGTCATTATGTACACGGGTAAAAATTGATCATGTTGTTCGGCGTTGTTCAAAACAGGAGCGAACAATGTTGTGCTGCACCCCGTGAACAATATTGTTAACAAGTTGTTCAACCATCAGTACTGTTGCAACTTGTTAACATGATTGTCAACAAGTTGCAACAATATTGATGGTTCAACAACTTGTTAACAATATTGTTCACGGTGTGCAGCACAACATTGTTCGCTCCTGTTTTGAACAACTTGCATCAACATGATGATTTTTACGCGTGTAATATATACTCCCAAGGTTGGCAAGTAAATACAAATTTAAACTGTATACACAAACTTAATGACGAAAAACTCGTACATAAACATCGAAATTCATTAAAAAAACTAACTCACTATGGTAAGAAATAACTGTAATACTTTTATATTTTGTTTTTTCACTTTTAAACGAGTTAATTTTGCGAAAATTCCGAGGAAAATTCATCAAATTCGTAACTCAATTTGATCAAAACTATGCGGGATGATGGCTCCCGGCGTTACGTCACAAAATAAAGCTCTCTGATTCGCTGGGAAATTTCAGCCAGCCAATCGGAGAGTTTTTTTGAAATTTTAAACATTTTCAGCAAATCAGAGAGCTTTATTTTGTGACGTAACGCCGGGAGCAGTCATCCCGCATAGTTTTGACCAAATTGAGCCATTTTCCTCGGAATTTTCGCAAAATTAACTCGTTTAAAAGTGATGAGAGAAGAAAAAAACACAATCTAAAAGTATTACAGTTATTTCTTACCATAGTGAGTTAGTTTTTTTAATGAATTTCGATGTTTATGTACGAGTTTTTTCGTCATTAAGTTTGTGTATACAGTTTTAAATTTGTATTTACTTGCCAACCTTGGGGATATATATTACATAATGACGCAACGCTATTGTGATGTTGCACGTACTTCATGTAATACAAATTATAGAGGTTTTATTGTACATTGAAGCATTGCATGTCAAAGCATTGTATTTTAAAGCAAATTGTATGGATTTTTTTTAAAATAAAAGACCTTTTCGGGAGACCTATGAACAGTCGGGACAACCTCGTACCCAGGGCTAGTCGCGATTTGATGGCAGCGCCCTGAGTACGAGGTTGCAATCGGGATAGGTTTGCTATTTGTTTGACGTTAATGTTTCGGAGATTTAAAAGAAGTTTTAAATTGTCCGTGAAAATATTCTACACAATCAAATAATAAAGGATTCCTAACTTTCGGGTCGTTAAACAGAAAATTTTGTGCTTCTTCCTGGGGACGATTTTTTCAATATTTCCGCGTCGATTTTGAAACCAAACTTGCTAAATCGTTTTTTGAAAAGCCGCATTATTTAGTATTTACCACTGAGCTATATTATTACAGTTGTGTTTACTAGTCTGCTAGTAAATATTGCATCAGACTTACTGGTCAACTAGCCAATCAGAACGCGTAAAAGCTCATTTGATACGCAAAATTTATTCTAATGCTAATACTTAATAGTGCACATCGAACATTTAATCTAAAAGATGGATTTTGACACTAAGATTATTTAAAAAATTAGCCCAGTAACCAATGTTATGGCTGTTTGAAGTAAGCCTGTAAGGGATCATCAAACCTATACTTATAACACACTCATGCATGATTACAATCATGGTCAATGTTTTCGCATCACTTAAAAGTACCTAAGAAATGATAAAAATGGCTTTAAAAATTTATTCACAGCTCATTTTCAAGCTCACAGCTTATTCTCAAGTTATTGGTCGCGCATTATATATCATTTGTGTTATGACATCACTAGTTGTGGGCAGCAAAAAGAAGAAAGTTTAATATGTCAGAAGTGATTGAGCAAAGATTTCGGAACGTTTTATGGGTTGTCATAGTAACACACTAGTTACCAGGTATCTCTGTTCTAATTGTCCAATCCTTTGCTTCCAACAAAAAAGAAAGGCATTTTTGTGATTTTCATTTAAATGCATCGTTTTTTATGAGTGCTGTGGTGAAGATGAAAGATTAAGTTAAATTAAATTTTTGTTCTGCCGCAGGCAGACATTACTAAAATAAGAGGAGATAGACCTGGTAATACGTGTGTTACTATGACAACCACATAAACGTTTCAAAATGTTTACTTAGGTGCACTTATGAACTGTACCAATTTTTAAATTTCGTTGAATCACTTCAGAGATATGATATATTCTTCTTTCTGCTGCCATCTAAGTACAACTATAGTGAAGTTATAACATTCAAATACAAAATGGGCGATGATGCGGGAACAAGATGAGCTGTGAATAAATTGTTAAGGCCATTCTTCATCATTTTGAAGGTACTTTCAAGTGATGCATAACAATTGGGGAAAATGTTTTGTGTCATGTGCACTTTGAACAACAGGAAATTATAATAACATACAACCGTTATTTTTTGTTTGTGTTGGTGTTATGTACTCAGGTGAATATGATGTTTGTGATGTTACTCTGAGTGTACATAAAAGATCGCTGTACTATATTGTATATTGAATCTACACCGGGCAAGCTGAAAAGTTAGCTTGGCCACGGTGGGAATCGAACCCGCGACCTTTGGGATACTTCTCGAACCGACTTGACCATGTAGCTTATTTGGCAGAGCATTGGACTAGTATCCCAAAGATCGCGGGTTCGATTCCCACCGTGGCCAAGCTAACTTTTCAGCTTGCCCGGTGTGGATGCACACTCAGAGTAACATCACAAACATCACATACAACCATATTGCATATTATCCGCCAAACAGGGACCGTTATTTTCATGGCCAAATCAGGATTTTATATCGTCATATTCTTTTATCCGTCATAACCCTGGAATTTATATCGTCATAATCTCTTTACGAAGAATATGCTGCATATATTTTGACATACGTACTGAAATTTTTAAATTTTTGTTCTTTTTTAAGCAAACTAAGAAACATGAAGAATCGTCAACCAACTCAGTAAGTGATTTTATCGGTTTGATATCATTCATAGAGCTGCTCGCATCAGTTCATATGGTAATCGATTAATCGTCATCAACAATCGAGTAAAATCGATTAATCGTGTTGAATAAATCTAGAAACAACCTCCGCGGCAATTTTCGTTTCGTAAACCGCCAGGGTCACCAGTAACAATCAGTGTCACCGCTTTCAGCGTGCGTCACGTCCGGCGAATACAAAATGAGATATTCACCGGGTAAAACACGCGTTTATATCAGGTTTATATATAATTTAAACGCGCCTCCGAAACTGACACGAACTCAACAGACACAAACAATACGAAGTCACGATGTAGAGTTAGGCGATACTTAAAAATAGGTGTACTGAGCGTACATGCGCCCGCTGTGCCTATGGTCATTCATTGTCAGCTCTTAATAACCAGCACTATCTATGACCAGCACAGTCTCTCATTTTCTATGATATTCTGGAGCCATTCTGGAACTTCTGGAATCTATGATCACGTATATCATCATACTGGGCCTAACTGGGGCATTAGCCGCCTCACCCTAACTGAAAGACAGCTAATGAGGGACCATGTTGTGATAACACGATGCTCAATGATGACGCATAGTTGGAAATTAACTTTCCAAAAGCAATGTTTAGTTTATATTTATTTATGAAACATTCGAACTCATTAGTAATTCAATCATGGCTCTCTCTCTATTTACTCCCCCTCCTCCTCCATTTGACCCCTCCAATATAAATCCTTACTGTTCCAACTTACTTATTTGAAACTAAATTATTTATGCTGCATAGCTTTATTTATTGTTGTATATACTGCATGTTCTCTCAAGAGGTCTAGGGGTCCAACTCCATTGTAACTATAGGAGGACGAAACCTAAACTATATAGACTCAATTTATTCGTACTAGAGGATATTTATTTAGATCTTGGATTTTTCGTTAATTTCCCCTTCACTGACAGTTAGCTATAGTCAGTGGTTAAATACTTTATTTATATAGTCTATATACTGGGCAACTCCATCAGTGTTGTACCAGTAATTTTAATTACTTAAAAGGGTCATCACTTAATATTTTAGTCTTACAACGGGAGGAAACCTAAACTAACTTAATATCATATTTGCAGAATATAGAAAAGAAAACAACTTCATACAAATACCAGTCTATACATTCGTAATACCATATACGGCATACCTGTTCTATACATGTATATTATTACGCCTTCCTTGCATTGAAAACACTCAAATTTTAAGACAAACTCGGGCTAAAATTGTCAATATTTCATGCAAAAAAAGTTGTTTCGAGCAACGTTGGAAATTTTTAAGTTCATATATTAATAAAAAACATATGTCAGCAGAAGATGACATATTCCTCAGACCGCAGAAAATAGTAGAAAATTACCTTATGTGCACCATAATAACAAAATATCGATAACTATGTGTGACGTTTGCATGTAAGGGGGTTGGTCTCCGCTGAAACGTCCATATGACGTTTTTCGTGGACAAAATCGATATGTGAAGCTTCCCTTAAAGTGTCAATACTTAAAAGTGTTGTTTATCATTGATTTAGTCATGTAAACACGAGGTGAAAACCAGCCGCCTACAGCACAGCTACAGGGAGGGCTAGCCCGTCATATAGGAATTGCCAATGGACTCGTTAACTCGAAATTCGACTGAAATTTCGAAAAACGAAAAAGGCACTAAAATCAAGTCACTTGATTGAGGTTGCCCAAACTTAAAAACTTGCATAGTTGCACGCATTTGCACGAAGTCGCGTAGGTTGAGGCGTGAAACAGTTGGAGCCTGGGGACAAGGATGCACAGTTGCAATAATGTTAGCCATATAATAATCACTTCTACCTGCCGGCTATGAAAGCAATTAGCTCAGCAAGGCCAAGGTATTTACTTTGTTTACATGTTGAAGTGTGCGTTTTTATGAAAACAACTACACAAATAATATAATAAAAGTAATGTACGAAAAAGATTCTGAAGTCAAAAATCTAATACCACGCACGTAAAGTTGGAGGGAATTTCTTGTCTTAGTCAGCCAAATAACCAGGACGCAATAACGAAGGTGAATACAATCCCAGTTATAATAAGTAACCACTGTACTAGAACTTTTCAAAATGATCTCAATATGGAGAAACCACATAAAAAACCCTTTCACTCCTAGAAAGCGCAACCTGGCTAACTTAGTTCCAATACCAAAATGCAACAAACCGGTTCCAACCAGATCCCTTCCAAATGTTATGCTTCTTAATGCTCGATCAATCCTTAATAAAGTCGATGAAATATCTATTCGCACCTAAATTCTCAACCCTGAAGTCCTATGTATCAAGGAAACGTGGCTTAATGACCACATTCCAGATGAAGTTGTTCAAGTGAGTGGCTACACAATTATCCGGAAAGATAGAGCAAACGGAACTCGCGGCGGAGGAGTCTGTACTTATATACGGGAGCATTTACCTTACAAAGTGCGCGTAGACTTGTCACATTGTTCTATCGAATGCCTTTGGATTACAATCCGACCTAAGTGGCTCCCAAGACGTATTTCACGAATAGCGATAGCAGTTGTATACCTCCCACCTCTTACTTCAAATCAAGAAATAGAAACATTTTACTATTATCTCTGCTATTGTGTCGATGCACTGGGTTTAGAGAGCACAGAAACAGCCTTCATAGTGACTGGTGATTTTAATCCAAATAGTAATAATTTCAACGAAAAACGTCTCAAAACTTTGTGTGGTCTGAAACAAGTTGTCCGCGTCCCTATGAGAGAAGGTGCCACTTTGGATTTAATTTTTTCTAATGTCGCATTCTTTTACTCCAATCCCTTAGCTTTAGCTCCATTAGATTCATCGGATCATGTTATTATCCAGTGGAAGTCCAAAGACGTCGAAAAATCTATTAACCGAATAAGGAAAGTGACGGTGAGACCTATTAAGGATTCTAGTTTAGAAGCCTTCGCCGGGCAGTGGATAAACTCATATGATTGGTCTATAGTAACAAGGTTGCCAACGGTCAACCAAAAACTGGAAATGTTCACCCAAGTAATTAATAGCAGTGTAGATACCTACTTCCCTAAACGCACCGTAAAGTTCCACCAAGAAGATAAACCGTTTATAACAGGAAGAATTAAAACATTAATAGTGAACCGAGATAAAGCTTTTGCGAAAGGGCATAAACAGAAATTCACATCGTTGCGTAACAAAGTTCGCGAAGAAATTAAAAAGGAAAAACAAAAGTTTTACCGGGTCAAAGTAAAACCATTACAGTCTAATACCCCAAAAGATTGGTGGAAAAGTATGAAACGTATACATGGAATAAGCAAGAACCAGAAAATCAATCTTGTCAACCCAGACTCTGGTGAACCTCTAACCTCAGAATAATCAGTAGAGTGCATTAATGATTATTTAATTAACTTATCTAAGGACTATAATAAAATATCAAACGATCTACAGCTGGGTGGAGACGATCTTGATCTTCCTACCATTTCAAGGGAATGTATTGCACAAAAGCTGAAAGAAATCAATATCAATAAGTCCCTAGGTCCCTTTGATCCACCATGACGAAAATTATCAAACACTTTGCGGAGCAGTTATCCGGTCCACTAACAGACATTATTAACACCTGCTGCCCTATCCCAAAGCCAAATCCATGCACTACAGTAGGAGATATTAGACCAATTGCCCTTACAAGTGTTTTTTTCAAAAATTCAAGAATCATTTGCACTGGATTGGATGCATGTTGGAAGATTCAAGGGACTGTCTCAGCGAACGTCAATTTGGGGGAATTCCTCGTTCGTCGTCTGTATTAGCCCTCCTCGAAATGCTACACACATGGTTTGTCGCCTTGGAGAAACCCAAATCGGTAATTAGGATCGTTTTCTTGGATTTATCGTGTTTTAAAAAGATCAACGCAGGGGTACCTCAAGGAAGTAAAATCGGCCCGATAACATTTATTACCAAAATTAATAAACTACCAGATTTGGCACTCACTGACAAAAATTCAGGAAAAGAACATGTTTCAATTTTTATGGACGATACTACCCTATCAGAGATTCTCAATATAAATAACCCTGAAACCCACCCAGTTAGCAACATCCAAGCAAATGTTGAAAGAATTTCAAAATTTTCACGAGAGGAAAACATGCTGAGGTTGAACTTGAAAAAAACTAAAGAAATGGTAATTGACCTTCGAATTATGAAATACCAGTGATTACGATAGACAACATTCCTATTTAAAGAGTACAATCCCACAAGCTATTAGGCATTTGGCTTCAATCAGATCTCAAATGGCATACTAATACCTTTTTTATTATTAAAAAGGCCAGGAAACGCCTATATTTATTAAAGGTGTTAAAGAAATATGGCACACCAGTAAAGATCTATTAAAGTTTTATTGTTCAGTGATTCGATCGGTTTTGGAATACGGTGACATATTATGGCATGGAGGCCTAACGTTATCACAAAGTCAAGATATCGAAAGAATCCAAAAACGTGCTCTAAGGATTATCACTCCTGACCTAAGTTATGAAGATGCTCTTGCTTCGTCTAAACTACTTCCACTTAATCAGAGACGGGACATGCATTCCTCCCGTCACATAAATTACACTACTTATTACCTGTGAAAGTGGGAAACATTAGAAATAGGGAAACTAGATCCAATAGAGACAAATTTTATAACTTTAAAAGTGGAACTGATCGTTTTAAGAAC